GTACGCCAATAACAGTGTAACTATAATTAATCATGGTGTGCTGTTTTAGAAAGCTGCAGAAGCCCATAGGGAGGAAATTCGTAAAAGACACGAAGCTCGTCGTGCTCAAAAAATTGGGGGTGACGCCGAAGCGAAAGTGATGACTGAATATGCTGCATTAATGTTGGGAAGTGCTCGCAAACACTTCTACTTCCTACATAAATAAGTTGTTTTGCAAGATAATGAAGGTAGCAATATTAGCATTAAGAAAACAATATGTTTTGTCCATGTCAATCCCTTCTCCATACATGCTATGTTTCTATGATAAAATCGTGTACAATTTGGAACTCTGCCTTTGCGAGGGCAGAGTTTCAATCTTGCATGCAGTCGTAAAAGCGCATTTCAGAGGCTATCAAAGGGGACGCTAGACGGGGACACATGTTAAAAAGCAAAATACTAGTACATTGAATTAACAGTGAAATGAAGGAAGACTGGAAGGAAGAAAGCCTTATCGAACGCTATTTGCATAAATCATGCCAATTTTCACACTTTTCACACTTTTCACATTCACGCTGGTGAGCCTGTAATAGACAAGTGTTTGATGAATAAGCAACATATCGAAAAATCTTTAGAGGAACCCGTCTGAAAACATCAGAAGTTTTCTTTTCTGTCGATATGGGTCTCAAATGAGTTCCTGCTTGCGTGTTGCCAGATCGACTCAGTTGCACTCAAGCCACAGTGAAACGTGAAGCGCAGATTTCCTCAACTTTTGCAGCTACGGTCTAGAAAAGAGCACAAATGGTGGAAGAATACCTAACAGATTGTGTGTGGCCAAAAAATATTTTGGTCAAAGAAGGAAAGGTTTGAATTTTTATTGGAGTAAACTCCAGCAAAATGAGGAAAATGAGTGTTCGAGAATAGTTATGGCTTACCGTCCTAGATGTGACACAGTTGGGAATGCGCCAAGATGAACGAGTGTAGATAATCATGCCTGTCTATATCAGTCAACCGTCATTTAGATATCTAGTCTTCAGAATTATTTGCCCTTTACCTACATTAAACCTTCAATACAAGCTATTTGAATACTTTAGCTATGCCTTAAGGTACCTGTCCATGCTCCACCTCAACGTTTAATATTGAAGGATGGGCTTTGTAAGGGTGCCTTCATACTACGCCGCAGCACGCGGCAGCACGCTTCCTGAGGCGTATGCCGCTGAAGTCGCAGTGAATATATGCGCTCAGCGCAGCACAGCTTCGCCGGTTATGGATGTACATCTATATTTGCTGCATGCTCGTGTTCCCCAAGAGATTTTCCTTCACAGCGAGCGAGCGTATATTTTCACTGCGACTGCAGCGGCGCACGCCACAGGACGCGGCGTGCTGCTGCGTGCTGCCGCGCTGCGGCGTAGTATGAAGAAACTTTAAGCTGAATATGTGCTATATAGCTGAATATTCGATAAAACCGCATGGATTTTACAATAAGGCGCTTCGCATGGTATTTGAATTGTGCGTAGTTTAAGTACGAATAGAGGTGAAGTCTCGATGGTGGCATGTCCTAAATTCTTGAGCATATCTTACATTGGCACGGCCAATTCACGAGCTTGACTTGCGACAAAGCTCTGCTCTAATCAGCAAAATTTCCAAATACCGTTTCCTATTTACTCGGGCTTTGGCAAGTAAAGTAAACCCTCGTAATAACCACTTTTGTCAAGCTTGATTGAAGCATAGCAGGTACCTTTTTCTCTTCTTCGTTTTTCTTCGTTCATCATAAAATGTCATCTATCCTTGAGAGTAATTATTAGCTAAAAGTGCTGTTTATTACGCTCGCATCTATTATTTTTTTCCAAAGGTGCAATGACTGACTGTTTTCATTGTTGTTTCCAGTTATGTGCATGCTATGCATGCTCTATAAATCCAATGCAATCAATGGCTTCAGCATATTTTGGTGAAATATCAACCTCTTTCCGTTACTTCTAAAAATTGACTTGTCAGATCAAAGGTAACTTTGACGTATTGTGCATAAAGTATTGTTTTCGCTAATCTCACCTTTGAGTAAATAGCTTGACTATTTCTATCGCGGTAAAGTAGGTATGCATCTAAGGTCACCACCGCAATCTCAGTTTTGAAGATTTGAGAGACAGAATTATGTCCTCGTGTTCCAAATCAACGCTCCAGTGTCAAAGGTTGCGGGTGAAAGGCGCTAATAAGCGCTTTGAAGCTTTTATTAGAGTTTTACGGGACCACATGCTGAGGTACTGTATGGTGCATTCAGCGCAAACATCACAACGTGTATATTCGAATTTTTCTTAAGCGAAAAATTGTTGCATATACTGGAGACACCACTCAACTCAAATGATATAGTAGAAATTACGCTGAACTTTTGAGTGTAGCAGCACTAATTAGAGAAAGCGTATCTCAACGATAGGACCATTTTGCTAAAAAAAAGTTCGTATTTTTCTTCCAATAGACCATGACTTGCACATTGGTTTCATTCATAGGAACAAAAAAAAGCGAACACTCTCCCACTCTTGTCTTTCTAGGCGCAAATGAAATTATCCAAAGTACATGTTGCCAAAAATGGGATTCTACCGAGTTGTGCACTATTCTTTCTCGAAACACAAACATTTTTGCAAGAAGATTTTCAAAGTGATTTTTTGACAGGATAATGGAAAGTCTTACAAGAACCAAAGGTTTCTTTTTGAAAATATCTTCACGGGCAAGGTAGGGTTTCAGACCCTTGCTCCCGAAGGTGAATCTTCCCTCCAAAGCACATGTTCCCAAAAATGGAATTCAATGCTTTCTATGAAGCGTTTTATTACTTGCCAAAACACTTTCTGCTGAAAGCATTTGTCTATCTTTCTTTCTTTAAGCTATCTCAGGGTATCTTCTAGCTATCTTCAAATATCTTTTAGCTCGGAGCCGCTGAGCTTTCTCCTTTCGCCAAGGTCGCTAGTCAGTCTTTTTCTTAGTGTCAGAAGTAGGTTTTTTAGGGCACATGCTCTCAAGTAAATTTTTCGCTTCCTCGTACCATCTCCTAGCTCCGTAGCTGCTGGCAGTCGTAAAATCGACAAAGGGATCGTTCCATAGATCATTATCATGTCCGTTACTAGCGAGCTCGCCCAATTCCTGTGTTGACTCGCAGCCCCATAGCTCGAATGTACATAAAATCGAAAAAACCGATTGTAATTGTAAATTATCTCAACAATAATATTGTTTTCGTAATCAGACTCCTTGTACTAATCCCCAGCTCCGTAGCTCAAAGTGCAAAAAACCGTTAAAATCGATAAAGCTAAACAATAGGTAATCAATAATTCTGAAATTTGATGTAAGCATTATGCTCAGCAGCATGCCAAATACACCCTTGTCTCGACTCTTAGCCGGGTAGCTCAAACTGAAAAAGAATCCGTTTCTCCGTGGGGCTCATAGTGCAAGCACAACTCTCGCAGACGATAATGACTGCTGGCTTCATCATGGGTACCGTTATTTTTTCGCCTTCCTTATTCTGGAATATCCACCAGCAACTGGACTCTTCTCATGTATGGATTGAAGGATAGAGAGACGGCGAAAATTCTGCCGTAGCGTTTGGAAAAATTCAGTCAAAGGCGATATATTTCCAGTTTTGATGGAGAAACCAACAACGGCTTGGGAGTAGTCACTAATCCATAATATATGTATATTAGTTTATGCTTTAATCCAAAACAACTGCTGCGACACGTAGACTATCCATGAGCTTTCATCCTCGAAATAACCGTTGAAAAAAGCAAGGAAGCAGTACCCAGTGTTATCATTTTGGGCTGCAACCAAGTACTTGCTATGAAAGAAAGCATTTGAAGCGAAAGCGTGGTTTTCCTTTTGGATTATAGTGGTTTACATTGCGTGATTGGATCTGAAATTCAAAGTCTTTGCGTATTTGATAAAGTGAATCGTTTTTGTGAAACTCATTGTAATAAATGGTTAATCACACTTATCACACCACTTACAAAAACCTCGAAAACAAAAATATAATAAAAGCCTTGTTGAAAATGACTGACTTTATTTAGTTCAATGTCTTTGTCCAGCAATCACGGAAACAATGACATATTAAAAACATCAAAGTGCAGAAAACAAATCATTGGAAAACATCAAGGAACAGAAACGCTGATGCCTGTTGTCACATTCTTCTTTATCAGTTCTTTAGCTGAGCACCATCCATTACTTTCTCGTTTTACAGAATAGGAAAAGACAACATATGCTAAAAAGAAAGCGAAATCAAGGTCTTGTTACAAGTTTATATAGAGCTGGAATGTATCTGTTATATCACTTCGAAACTCTCACTTCTCGTGTTCCTGGTCGAATTAGGTTTCATGCATATCGTGAAAAACTTTGCGGTTCTAATGATCCTTCTTCATATGCTAAGCTGCTGTGTATAACTTAGAAGGGACCGCATAATACTTACTAGGTCCTGAATCTGGCCAACTAATATAGACACTTTTTACGCCAAGTGAACTCGTAGAAGCCAGTGGCATAGGGGGGGGGGCTGAATGGATCGCAAGGATTTTAAGGTTACTTACATAAGTTACAAAATTTGCTCAATGTAGACACTATTCACGTTATAATAAGTCGCGAAGTTTTTGGAAGTTATTACAGTTATAAAATTGTGCAAGTGACTTGTTTATACTTGTAAATATTCAAGATAATTAATTTTTAAAAATTTAATTTAGTCTTGTCAAATTTTTCTCCAAATTTCGGGGTTAGGGGCTCGCAAAAATTTTGGGAAGCATGCCAAAAATTATTTCGGAGTGCGTGACCAACGCCACGTACCTTTATCAGAAAGTTTTGTAGCGCTCCCCCTCCCCCTCCCCCTCCTCCTCCCCCCCTCCCCAACGGAAATCCTGGGTACGCCACCAGTAGAAACTTATGAGCTTTTCAAAGCTATTCTCACTTCTAGTTAACTGAACTTCTACGTGTCTAAGAGACTTTTGGAAAAGTTCCTACTGTGCTTGACACGTGGAGATGCAGTACTGCATGAAGTAGTTAATTACAGGTTATCGCCACAATGCTAAAGTTGCAACTGTTAGTCCTCTTAGCCCTTGCTATTGCCATTTGCGCTCAAAGAGGTGAGTTATTTCAATAAACCAACATCAAGTATTTCCAGAACCGTGTCGAGCTATCCACTTGATGATATTTAGGGTTATAAAGTGCGCAGTATTCATGCTTAAGTCCTCGATGCTCCTTCTAAGATCTATCCGAGTTTGCATTTTACTCCTGTTTTCCCTCAACCTGAATTATTTGGTCTTTTGATGTAAAAAGTACGAAACTCTTTCATTGACAGATTCTAAAAATGTTTCAAATTTATCGAGATCAAGCCCCTTATACCTAAACTTACCAACTCCCTTCTCTTCCTGCAAAGGGTCAATCATGCAGTATGAGGGGTATACCTGTTACAGGAAGACATGAATTCAAGAATATTCCTGGAGTAAGCGAAGCTAATATGGCGAAACTTCGCGAACTGTTTGAGGTAATCTAGGATGATGCAAATGCACTAATTCATAATGAAATGGATGATTAGGTTTTTAGGCTCGTAGGGAGGAATTTAAGAAGAAAATGGACGATTGGCTGAACAGCCTACCCGAAGAAGAAAAGGTGGGCAGTCAAAAGATGAGATAATTCTTATTCTATGGTACTAATCTGATACCATTGTTAGAAAGCCGCCGAAGCTCACAGGGAAGAAATTCGCAAACGACACGAGGAACGCCGTGCTAATAAGGCTGGCTTTAATGCAGGAGTCGCAAGCGAATGATTCTATACAGAAAAAGTGTGTAATTGCTGCTTGATGGATTGACTACGTAAGCTTACGCAAGATAAATGATAAAACTATGGAGCATTTGTCAATAAAAGTAACTAGAATCAAGCAAACGACGTTCTGGCAAAATCTTTTCCCAGAACCTTGCATACAATCACGAAGTAGTCGGCAAGTAGTAAAAGACAAGCAAGAAGAATCAACAACACTGAAAGAAATAAAACTGTGTTCCATTCTCACACTGCTTAACTTCGGAAAACTGCAAATTGTTCTTACACAGGCGCACAGGATTCTCACTGATGTGCTAGCTTTTAGAGGTTTTCAAATCGTTTCTACGCTATTCCTCAAGTAAGGACTGTTTCACAGCGCGATCATCATTGATAAAATTGAAAAACATTTGAGAGCAAAAAAATTATCTTCATTAGAACAATGCAATTGTTTTTAATCGACAGTCAGCTTGCCCAAAGCATAAAATTGGCAACTAGGTTTTTCAGGTAGGTTGGTATCCCTTTTTTGGTGGCCCACACACTTCGGAATTATGTTGTTGTGTGTTAAGCTTGCACAGACTTGTTTATTTCCAGGGACAATATAGAAAAAATCTAAGCATTTTACAAAAAATAGCGATGTCCAAGTTTCTAAAGTTTGAAAAGTTAATGAAGCAACAACCTACATAAACCACTTGATGCCGTAACCGTAGGCAAAGTGTTGTTAGAGATAGCTACGAGCTAAGCTAAGAAAAATTTGCATACCAAAGAGTGATTGAGATTAGGCGCTCTCGAGCCAAGCGGGTAGAATGATTCTTGCTGTTCCGGAAACTCGTCGATGCCAAAAAGTAGGAACATCAATTACTGAGATTTTACATGTGGAGTAATTTGAACTGTTGAAGACATTATTACTTTGAACTATTGTTAGGGACAAAATACTATACTTGTGTGTGTTGCGCAACTTTATAGAAAAAGGCCTATCACGCAAAAATTTCATCGTGATTAGTATGTCAAGTAACTCCTCTACGCCATACTGCATTCAAATTCGTAGCAAATCGAAAGTCACCGTTTTGATCCCTCTAACCATTGCTCAAATGCAATTGCACAATTTAACAAACAACGGCTGCATCCGTATCTCTTAATCTGATTCATATAATGCCAAGGAATGGGTGCCTACATTCAAAAAAAGTTGATGATGCCAAACTTAGCAAGGAATGGTTGGCACTTAATTCAGCCATTTCGAACAAGCTGTATATTTATCTGCCGAACGACTATCAGGAAGGAGTTATGAGCGTTCAAATTCAAGAACATACAACGTTTCAACGAATATAGGTCGTTAAAAGACAGCCTGAGAAAGCGTAACTACGTTTATTATGAGTATTGTACTTACATGGAAAAAGCCCATTCAAAATCCTATCTAATTGTTATGAAACGTTCTTCTTGGAACATGCGCTGCAGAGTACTTAACAAATCACACATTCAAACGCTCGTAACTCCCAATTAGTCGCTGGCAGATAGTAAACGTATATTACAGATCAGTGTTTCAAGACGAGTCCGACGTTTGGAAGGCTGGGTAAAGCTCTGACCACTTTCTGCTTAGTTGAACCTACTAAATATTACAACAAATGTATAAACAGAATACTCTTTATTCACCACATACAGTGAACTTCATTTTCAAAAATAAGCTAACCTTCCACTTACATTAGAGTAAGGAAAGCCCATCAAGCTAGGTGACATTGCATTAGGACTGGAATGTAGAGAAAGACTTATGAAAACAGATTTAGAAAAGCAGCTAATTTTTGTGTTTCCTAGCACTTTTTAAAGCTATAAAATATATGAAAAAATTCTTGAGGGAGTTCCGAAGCAGACTCTAAACAGTGAAGTTTGAATTTTCTGCAGAAGCCAGAAGCAGACGTAATGTTTATATTCGGAAAAAATTCCAGTTTGACTGCTCGCGATGTTGTAAAAGAAAGAGTCATGGTCTTGAATAGTTGGTTGAAGGCGTTTGAGGATAGCCAATTAAAGCCACTTCCTCGGTATTTGATGTTTTTACTTTTCATCTTAGCTCCTTCCTGAATTTGTTTGAGTTTAAGAGAAGAATACCAACCTTATGGGAAACGAAAATGATTTTTAAATCACTAACTGCATCTTCAAATGCTGATTCTGAATCTGCCCTTTTTTTGCAGAACATCTTTTCGAAAGAAGTTATGCGCGTTTGATAGCTCCAACTTCTCATGTTCTAAGTAGCATAAAATTAGCAAAAGCTGTACAAAAACACCTAAAAGTGGTGATTAATTTTGTTATAAGTACACTGACTACGGGAAAGGAACATAGCCAGTAGAAATCCTTTAAATGTTGTTGTAAAGCTTTCGTAATTCTGTCACTTGAAGCTTGACAAATTTGAACATGCAAACGCATACAACTTCTTTCGCAAAGTTATTCCGCAAAAAAAGGAAAGAAGTTGTGGAATCAGCGCTTGATGACGCCTCCGATGAACACATCTCTTTTCGGTTTGCTTAAACAAGTTGGTATTTTCTCTTGCAGGCCTAGCACGACATTTGAATTGTATTAGGTTGTTACATAAGTCTTGTTACACTTAACTTCTAACGGCAATAAGTCATACACCTCATAGTCTTTGCAGGACTCCAAGGAACCATTCGATAGAGCAAAGCAAGGTCTACAAGATGGTCTGCAAAAGTTCGCACCAGCTCCGACCCACCGTAAGTTTGCACCCAAAATCTGAGTCGTACTGAAATTCAAAAAATCGCGAAAAATTCATATCTTTCTTCAGAAAAATCCTACAAATCTCCAAGTTGCTCACAAAAATTGCCCACTATATCAGACACTTATATGTACCGTTGCTGTATTTTTTTCTTATCTAGAAATCGAGAAAAAGAATTTTTTTTAGTTTTTACAAAAAGGAAGCCATGCTGTTTCTATTCATGTAGCTGTATACTACAAACTTTTAGAAGTATAACTGTAAATTTTCAGCTTCCCAGAAGCCCTAGTTTTCGAGAAATACCAAATTTAGCTTCTGTCACTCGGGTGTTCAACGCCAAATCAAGTAATTTTCGAAAACTAAGGCTTCTAGAGAGCTGAAAATTTACGGTTATATTTCTAAAGGCTTGTAGTATACAGCTACGTAAATAGAAACAGCATAGCTTTGTTTTTGTAAAAAATAAAAAATTTTCCTTTTTTCGATTTCCAGATAAGGAAAAAATACAGCAACGGTACATATAAGTGTTTGATATAGTGGGCAATTTTTGTGAGCAACTTGGAGATTTGTAGGATTTTTCTGAAGAAAGATATGAATTTTTCGCGATTTTTTGAATTTCAGTACGACTCAGATTTTGGGTGCAAACTTACGGTGGGTCGGAGCTGGTGCGAACTTTTGCAGACCATCTTGTAGAGCTTGCTTGGCTTTATCGAATGGTACCTTGGAGTCCTGCAAAGACTATGAGGTTTATGACTTATCGCCGTTAGAAGTTAAGTGTAACAAGACTTATGTAACAACCTAATATAATCTTCCAACTTGTTTGAATCAAGTGGGAAAATCGTATATGATTTATACCGAAAACTAACTCATTCTGAGCTTGCAAGCAGAGATATCAGACTTAAATTCTGCTGTTTGCGGTATGAGTGTTTATTTCGAGCATTTGATAAGAAAGATGGTCCTTGTTTTTGATGTCACCATGTCTCAAAGCTTATTGCTCCCTAATTTTTTAACTTGAGCTACTAAAGATTTCGAAAATGTGTTGTCTTTCAAAGATGTATGGTCTGTGTCTTTGACTGTAATGAAACTGTAGTTTTTTTTTAAACAAAGATCTCTTCAAAGGTAGTATTAACTGAGAAAGACAAGAACAAAACACTTGATGAGAAAGTTGGTTCCAGCTGTTAGACAGTCTGTTCTGAGCAAAAAAAATTTGCTTTTTAAACATTATACTTTCTTGGAATCAATACGCTTTGAGCAAAAAACTCGAAAAGCAGATAATCTTCAATTCTCATGGAAAAGAAAAAAACCATTTGAGCAATAAATGATCCTCTCCGACTTAAATGCGCTCATATACGAAGAAAAAAGGAAGACAAAAGTTTTGTTACATTCTAAGGAAAAGTCTGAATTGACCTCAAAAAATTACGACATTACCTATGAGGTGCTCATAGAAAAAAAGAAGAGATAAGAAGGAAACTAAAATAGACCCAATAAAAAATAGCAAATACATATCAAATTGAGTTGATGATGTTCTGTTGATTACCTGCTTTGGACATCTCATTCTTAGCGCGTACCATTACGGGCTTATTATAGTATAATACAATTGTGCCACCATTCAGGAGTTTCTGAAGCTTCAACTAAGCAGAGAAGATGGGAATCAAGGCTGTAGGAGCTAATATGTGGAAGTTTGGACAAAAATGAAATTTTTTTGAAATCATCAGAGATACTCGAGGGCTTTCACTGGACCATCTCAAATGGCCTGCGACCGGGAGAAACCTGCTCAAAAAGGTGTGGCCTCTGATTCGCATGGCTCAATTTTTTATAATTGCTCTAATTCCCATTGCGCATGTACATACCAAATTTGGCGTCATACGGCGTCATTCCTTGTAAAAGGTGAACTAGCCATTCGTCTTTTTCGGATAAGAAACTCTTCGCCCCTCTCTGAGTGTCTCACAATAGACCCCACATAATGTCTTACTGTAGGCATAACATGAGGACCATATACCGAGAAAAATGAGTAGCATATTCGTTTTAAGGCTTCCAAATATTGAGCCACCCAAGTGCAAGGTCATTTTCAAATACAATTGGAGGCATCGTCTCGGCAAACTGGACGCATGATAATGGAAACTGGTCTTAGAGGCTTGACCATAACAGTGCTTGAGAGCACCGCAAATGGTGCACTCGCGCCTGGAATATTTATCTTAAAACCAGACAATGGTACCGTATTTAGCGGACGACTTTCATAGGCTTGCCGCTATCGCGTGCGGATTCACTGCCTTAGGCCTAACAAGGGAATGGTCAGAAATCGAAGTGGCCATTCCAGACAAGCTGCATACCGTTAGATGCAGCATGAAGCGCTGACTCTAAATCTGTCTTCCCTACTTGCTT